GTAATGTACTGTAAAATCAATTACCACATGATAAGGCATGGTAAAATCAAATTACCACACTATACCATATGGTATGGCATGGTAAAATCAATTATCACACAGAACCATCACATTTAACTTCCTAATTACCACATTTTACCACATGGTAATGTACTGTAAAATCAATTACCACATGATAAGGCATGGTAAAATCAAATTACGACACTATACAAACTTCAATAAACAAACAAATTTGTATATCTTACCTCCTGATTCACCAGAGTTAGCTGAATGATCAAATCCAAGATCGATAGATGAAGAAGCAATTCCAACAGCACTAGATGAAGAACCAGATCCTACAACGCTGGTTGAAGAACCAGATCTATCAATTGGAACAACATCGCCACAATTTACGTAACTCATCTCACCAGAATACTACAAAAACACCAAAACACAAAGAACATAACACATGAACAAGCTCGATTAGCTAAACATAAACAAGCTCGACTAGCAGCAATGAAAAACCTCCAACGAAACCAGAGATCAACAGAAAACTCGATTAGCTAAACAGGAAGAATCAAAAAAACTAATATCTAACCTCGTCGTCGATCAATTATGGAGAATCACAAAAGATTCGCCGTCCCCTGTTTCGCAGCAGCTGCTCGCAGTTTCTCTCTACAAAAACCGAATCCAACTCGCGCACACGTCGATCGATTATGGAGAATCAGAAAGCTCGATTCGAAGCTGCTGTTCGCAGTTTCTATCGCCGTCGATCAACCATGGAGAATCGCCGTCCTTGTTTCTCAGCTGCTGCTCCCCTGCTCGCAATTTCTCTCTCCAAAATCCGAATCCAACTCGCGCACACGTCGATCAATTATGGAGACCGAGAATCAGAAAGCTCGATTCGAAGCTGCTGCTCGCAGTTTCTATCGCCGTCGATCAACCATGGAGAATCGCCGTCCTTGTTTCTCAGCTGCTGCTCCCCTGCTCGTAGTTGAGACTCTCCAAAATCCGAATCCAACTCGCGCACAGAAAGATTCGCAACGGACAAAAGGGGAAACTCATTAATTCAAATAACGGACAAAAATGCCCCTGACCATCCCGCTTCAATGACAGCCACACGATCCGTCCGCCCCAGATCAACGGTTCCTAGGTGGTTACTCACGGGTGAGTAACAAAGGGTTACTCACCCTATCCTAAGCCGTAATTTTCTATTACCACTATACTTTGATAATTTGTTCGGCATTGTGAATAACCACAAACATATCTCTTGGATTTTTCTTCTAATTAGTTATTGTTTTGTAGTGTTGTTTTCATGGAGTTTCAAATTTGTTAGGGTTGTAGGGATCCTCACTATTTGGGTCTAGTGTGTATTTTGAGTTTTTTTAATATTTTTGGACACATTGGATATGATGAGTGGGTTATTTTTGTTCCTTGTGATTTTGTATAGTAGTCTTACTTATTTTTGTTGTTGAAAAAATAGCCTTTTATGGAATCTAAATAAAGGAGAATAGTGCATTACAATATTGGAACACTAATATCAATGATAAGTTACCAATCTATCGGGGACAAACTCATCATAGCTTGATGAGCCACCCAATCAGCAAAAGCATTAAGGCAACGAGGTAGACACTCAACACAGATCGACGAAGCTGAATGGGGGGTAGGAAGTATACAAGGAAGTGTAGCTCAATATTTCCATGTCCAAAGGAAGGGTTTCTGCTTCAATGCAATATCTAGTACATGACTATTTGCTTGTAAGCAGGTAGGGAACGCCTCCTTAGCTGATAACAATATTCCATTAGTGCGGACAAAGGCTTCCACTTAAAGTGCGTAAGAATAAAGGATGGTCTTAGTCTTGTTGTCATACACTTGACCATGGGGGTTAGAAATAATAATCTCATAAGCTGTCGTCCCTGAAATAGAATCAAAAGAACCATCACAATGCACTAAACATAAGAAAATGTGTGGCGGTGATGAGGAGTTTGATCGGGATCCCGTAGGCTGAGAGATAATTGGGCTTTAATATGTGATTAAATTATAAAAATTGAATGTTATGACTACTCTATTACACCTAATCAAGTCAAGAATATCTTGATTAAGTGATGTATCATAAGGTTTGCCTCCAAGATCGTTGTCCATGGGCCATCGAATCTATTGCTACTTTAAAAAATTATTCTATTTAATCGATCAATTGGTGGGTTACGCTAAACAATTAAAAGAAAACTAAATTGAAATAGTAAACTTATCAAGAGAATTAAGGTACTTGGACTCGGTCTCCTATGAATTCAATGGAATGAAATTATTCGTGTAATTCTCCTTCTTTTTGTGATCCCAGAATCTATATAGCTAGTATCCAAGTCAGTGGTCGTGCACTTAGGATGCACTCATTTGTCACTACTTGGCTCAATGGTCATGAAACCAACCTATACCTAGAGCACTACACATAGATTCTCAGTTTCGATAAAGACCCAAAGGCATATGAGACTTCAATTTAATGGTCGTGCAATTAAAATCTCGTACTATGTGATGTGGGTTCTAGCCTTTACCTAATTAGATGGTCTCTAACTTAGGTTAAAAACAAGGTAATCAATCACTTGGTCTAAAGCAAGAGATGACATAATCATAAACAGTGAATAGGGTTCATAAGTCAACGATCCCGACTACAGGAGCTAGCATTAAACTTACCCAAATACAAAAGAATCATTGCATGAAAGGTAGAGGAAGTAAACAAGATGGGGAAGAGGGGGACATCATCTTCTTAGCTTCAGTCTGGAAAAGAACTCCAAGATCCAAAATTTGAAGGCCTATTATTCTTCTTCTTCTTCTCCAAACTCCCTCACCCCCAAAGGGGAAGCCTCACTCTTTTTCTCTCAAAGTTGTGCTGAGAAATTTCCAAAAAGTCACCAAAAATCCCCAAAACATCCTCTCATAGTCATAGTTGGCGAACTATGTATATAGAGCAGAGGAGTTCTGCTTAGTTCACGGACAGAGTTCACGGCAGGTCACTGTAGTGAATTAAATAAAAGCCAATTGAACTTTGATGCAGCGTTGTTCTGCCCTAAGAAGTTAGAGATCACATATTCATGGTCATAATCTTTTCTTATGGGTGTGAACTCTATGTCGCGGTTTGAACTTCGTACCTGCAAAGTTGTCCATGCGATCCTTTGTTTCTTCTGGCTCCGTTAACTTCCCTTTTGCTCCTCCCTATACATTTTCCCCAAACTTTGCTTCAAGTTCACATAAACCCTCACATTACCTAAATCCTATGCATACCAAATATGAGACATTTCTAGACTAAAATGCAACAGTTTAGGATCAATTATGCTAAAAGGTCGTGAAAACATGTAAAACTGGAAGTCCCCTGACACTAATTTTAGATGTTATCGAATCTCCCACACTTAGTCGTTTTCTTGTCCTCGTGAAAATATGTGATGAAATGTTTGACTCGAAGCCCCTAAATCTACCCACTAGATGTGAATCATTGGAGGATGCTCACACGTGGCTTGAGATATCTCAACTATCCATGACCATGCTTACTCGGAAAATCCTGAACATAATGCTATTAGTGTATATTGGAGGATCAATCGCTCTCGCAATTCTTTTTGCACCTTCCTAACAACCTTTATTCCTTTTTGGTACATTTTAGGGTTTTAGGAACTTAATTTTTTTTTGTATTTCTTACTGGTCAAGTAGTGGTTCTATGGTTAATGTTATATGTCCCCCTAACTCTATCTCACTCCACGTGGAGGAGCCACTATGTTGGATTATCAACCTTTGAATGACATCTAACCAACTCTAAGTGGGGTCCCCAAGCACATCACGTTAGACATGGCTTTCCGATTTGAAGGAATTTGGTCATGCGGAGACCTCCTTAGAGTCTCATGCATACAACTACTATGGAGTGGTGAAGGTCTCCTTAAATTCGTACGTTCACACGCATTTTATGCATCTTGTAGACCCATTTCTTAATTGTTTGAATTCCACAATTATTATGCTTTGGGCATTACGGGTCAATTTTGTGTTATATTTGATTAAATGTTGATATATTAGGATTTAGCGTGATGTTTACCAAGTTTTTGGCTCATAATTTGCTCATTCTCATCCTATTCTAGGTAGTATTGTTGACGGACCGAGCTACAAATTGTAAAGCTTGATTCCAACAAAGCAAGTTTTTGGCTCCATTGTCGAGGAAACAATTAGGTTATTATGAAAGGCTTAGAACTACTAGTTTAGTCTTGTGTTTGTTTTTCTTCTTCTTCTTTTTAGTGTTAAGTTGAGTTTGTATTGGTTCTTTGTGTGAATTACCTTGTGATTTTCAATTGTGCATGTTGCATCGCTCTTTTTCTCGAAGTATGGTTTGTGTTTGTTTGATCTTTTTGGCTTCTGTTAAGTTTTAGTGTATTTGTAGTTGTTGAAACATGGACCCTTATGCAACAAAGTGTGTCAACCATCTCCGGAATAGTGTACCTCGAAACTTGAAGTAGGAGTGGAGGTCAAAGATCCGAGTTTTAAAAAGAAAAAGAACCTCCTCTCTATGCTCACCAATCATAACTACCAAATTCCCCCACTGCTTCGTTAAGTACAACCCCCACCAACATTAGGCAAATCCAAGTTGGAGATTTCCATGAAGCACAGCTAGCTAGTTAGATCAGTTGCAAGTTGCAACACCATCACTACAAAAACAAAACATAAAATAATCAACCGCAAAACATATTTCAAGTAACCAATTATATGAGGAGGGTTGTTATTAGCAGCTCGAGAAATTATCATTTGCCGCCCACAATTCTGAAGTAAATGACGATTTGCCCCTTCTTTGATAACCCTCCCACCAACCACTACTCAACCTCCGTTGGCTTCCCTCCCCTGTCGGAAGATTGATGCCCAGCACTATAATTAGTTTCCCTTCCCTAATTAGTGTCACTCAAAAACAATTTGTCAATAATTATTGTAAATTAATTTTCCTATAAACCTCAATCTTTCCCCTTTCCCCACGTTTGACTACAAATTATCTTCATCTAAACAATTTCTATAATTTATTGTTTATAAAATAAAAATAAAAACAAGTTAGCGACGACAACTGTCCGAAGCCGAGTTTTGGAGCCGAGCGACTAGTCTGAAGGTTTGGGTTGTGGACGACTGCGATTGGTGGAGGGGGTTGTGGTCGATCTGAGGGGAGGTTTGTTCTCCCCGGCGAATTTGCTGACAAGGAATGTTGTCGGAGGTTTTGTTTGGTGAGAGTTTTCTAAGGTAAGGGCAAATGTGTTTTTTGCTTTAAAATCATGGGAGGCAAATAGTAATTTATCGGACTGCAAATAGCGATTCAGTTATATGAATAGCTTAAAGGCTAAAGCTACATCTCTGTACAAAAAAATCGAAGTAAAAATATCGCTAAGTAGGAAAAGCTACAAAATTGGATTCCACCATCTAGTTCTCATTGCACTGTTAGTCTTTGAAGATGATCCAGGAAGACCTCGAAGCTCACATCATCTGTAAATAAGACGTCTCCGCCCAGGAGAGGTGCGTCTGTGTTATATGTGGCAGATGGATTCAGTTTAGCCAGAAGAAACCGTGCCTGATCCATGAAAGGAAAGGAAAGGAAAGCTGTCAGGTATACCACAACAGCAAAAATATGAAAAGCCATTCTTTCAGCGTCCGTTGGAGGACACTAACCTGTGAGCCATGCTGATCACAAACAACTAAACGAGGAACCGGAAACCTTTGCGTGACGATGCTATCTGCATCATCAGAAGGAGCACGTAGCAGTTGTGCAAACGCCTGCAGAGCGTGTAGTTGACAGAAATCAGTCGCAGGACGCAATATTACAACACCTAACAGTAAAGATAATATGGAGTCCAGTAAAATGCTGCATGTATACACTTACAAGTAGACAAAATTACAGAAGCATGAAGGTTGCTGGCCAGAAAAGCACGTCTTGTATTTTACGTCATCGAAGAAGGTATTTAGCACAGTAGAATTCTAGAGGATAACACTGATAAAACTATGTGTTCAAGGACTAGTCAACTGAAGCAAGTAGTTGAAGCAAAGGTGGGTACCGTTTAAACCAGGTAAATGACTAGGTCTAGGTGGACACATAATCTTGTTGACTTTTTATGGTAGATCGAATGTAGTATGTACGCTATGTGAGCAAATTACCAAAAGGATGCCGCACAAGGTTTCGGAGTTCTATAAGAAATGGTAGAATTGGAAGAACGGAAAATACGAAGCTGGGGTCGGGTGCACATCAAACTAAATTACATTCTAAAGGTAAATTTTGGAAGATGTATTTGGCTGAGAAATTTGTTATTTGATCAACTGGAAACATCCAACTAGTACCGTAGAAGTGTCAATTTCAAATGGAAGTATAGAAAAGGGGCTGTCATCTTCTGAAAAAATAGAGTACCTGGTGCTCTTGTTGACTATGGTACCCTGCTTTTCGCCACTGAGCAATAGTTGCTCCATGGAAAACAACCACAGTGAAGTAAGAGTCCAATAGAAGGATCCTATCACCTGCAATAGCCGCCACGTCCAAAAGAGCAGGTTCGGGTGCCGAGTGAAATGAGTACGAGATTAAGGAAGGCTGAATCATCACAATTGAATTGGCTACATTCTCTCTGTTCAATATCATTCTGAAATACGCTGTCTCATCAGGGCTATTGTTGAAGACCTGCAGCAATCAATCATATGAAATCAGTTCATAAACAGGGGCTTCATTTCAACTCTTCACAGTTAATCATCTTGCTCATGCATGCACCAAGTATTGATACCTGGACAAACTGGGAGCGCCGTAAATGGAACATAAACTGAGGAAATATTGAGAGCCGTGGAGATAGACTGAACGAAGATGGGCTATCCTTCTGATAATCTCCAAACCGAGAACATAGATGAATTAAAGCCTTATCCAGCCATCTTATTGGATCAAACTCGGCCTGCAACCAGTATTAGCAGAACAGATTTTCAGAGCATCATAGCCAGTTGAAGCATATGATCAGAATAATCAGTATTATCTTTATAGCAAAGAGAGGAGTGCTGAGTAGAGTGTAATAGCAGAGACAAAGTGAAAATGTAGATAGAGTCCATGGTTTCAAAATGCAGCAGAAAAAGGGAAAGACTCCTTTGAAATTACATGTCAAGCTTGGTCTGATGATTCTTTTGCCGTCATTGGCAACTTTTTTCTGATATGAAGCGAAATATTTAAAAAAAAAAAGTCATCATTTCGCCTCTCTGTCTATATTGGTAGGAAAAGATAGATTTGAAATCAAACTCTGAAATTATAGATTTGAAAATCACATTTAACAAAAAAGTCCTCATTTCACCTCTCTATCTCATTGGCTAATCCTAGTCCTAAGCCTAACAAAAACAGAAGAATTTTTTTTAAACAGAATAGAATATTTAAGAGCGCACTGTCATTCCAAATATATGCTACTTGCAGTCTTACACCGCATCTCTTGGCAGAAATGGAATTCTTGAAATGATTGTGACATAATTCTAGCAATGGCAGTGGGCTGGCAATCATATAGATATGCATACAAGTCGTAGCACGATTTCAGGAGAGAGAATCATTACAGGCTGCTTAGTCAAAAGAAAAGAAAACAAAACAAAAAGAGGTAAGAAAGACCATTTAATCAGTAGTTACCTCCACTTCCATTTTGAAGGAAACCAAACGAGCCATTGCCACAGCTGCTGCTTCTTGGTCAAAACCAGCAATCAAGTCCTAAGCATTTCAAACTAGTGAGAAGTACGAAGACTTGAAGAAGAAAAAGAAGAAGGTTGTTCACCATTGACAGATGATATTGAGAAGTTTAGAAGTGGCATGTGTTTGAAGAGTCATTCAACGTCTTTATCCTACAAGCAACAAGCTTAGCCCAACCTAGTCCAAACATGTGTTTTCTTGACAATCTCTACCTCCTAGCCCAATGCGTATATTCAAAATCAAGTCCTTCAGAGGAAATATTAGAAAATACAATATTGTAACTGATCAAATATGGGTCATACAATCATGGAGCAGTTGAACTATCTACTTGCAAGATTGCAAGCATGAACACCAGCATTGCTACTTATCTGGATCAAGATAATACCGATTCCAAAGACTTCACTTCCATATTGTAACAACCAAGCCAATTTCGGAGAGTTCATTGAGATAGCAAGTGCAGGGGTTAAGAATTACTTTCGTACCAACTCAATAAGACATCAATTAGACTACCTGTATCAAATAACCTCTCAGTATGCTTTTCCAGATTGCTTCACGACTTATTGGAGGATTTATTTTGATTGGTATGAGAAAAGGCTCAAGTAACTTCATTGGCCCCAACAAAACCCATTGCTCTATCTGGAAATAGGCAAGAAATTTTTGGACATGCATGTAATCTCATCCACAGGGTCAATTCTGATGTGTCATTCAGCTATGGTGTTGCATCTGGTTCAACCTAACATATTCACTTTAACCATATTATTATGAGCCATTTCCCTATCTGAAAATAGGCAAGAAATTTTTGGACATGCATGTAATCTCATCCACAGGGTCAATTCTGATGTGTCATTCAGCTATGGTGTTGCATCTGGTTCAACCAAACATATTCACTTTAACCATATTATTATGAGGATGGAGAAGTAAAATCTAATCCAGCCAGAAAAATGGCTGGATTTGTTACATCTCATACGATTGCAACAAACTAGTACTTCTTACTTCTTAGCAGATTCCAAGCTTACACCCTCGTCATTAGAAAAGCGGATAAGCAATGAATACTCTAGTCTCTACAAGGGAAGAAAATTATGTTTGTACATACTCCTCAAAGAAAAAATAATTGAGAGAGATTCAGCATGAAAATTTAAGAGAGTATCAGATTTACCTGTATACTTCCAGGTCCACTAACCCATCTCCTTGAGAGGGTTGTAGCACGAGCTCTCATTTGACCATTGGTGTGTTGGTAACTGTGGCACAAAGTCAATTATAATCAAGGATTATCACACCTGGACACTAGGTATGCCAATCTCTCAAGAAACCAGAGGCTTAGAGGTAATACCAAGTCAAGAATTGAAAATAAAACTGATTGCTTGTATGTTGAACTGCAAGTTCTGGGCTCTCTTTCTTAACAATATCAAATATCAGACATAAAGTTGTAGATTTGTCCATGCCGCACATCTTCCATGCGCTAGTATTTCCCTGACCAATGACAGTGTCAGAGGACAACTGCCCTTTCTGCAGAAAGCACATTACAAGTAAAATTGATCAAGCAGATGATAAGTAGGAAAGAAAGAAAAACCATCCATATAATATAAGATGAATGTACCTTTCCAAGAGATGCACACGGGCCAATTATACCTTGAACTTTGATATCCTTGGAGCAGTTTATCTCAAAGATACCACTACATATAAGAACCAAAACGTAAGGAAAAGCTCCATTACATTCAACCTCAACAGCCACATATACATTATCATCAGAAGGACGTATCAGACAGGTATTTTGAGGCATGAAAAACAGCATGAGAATGGGGTACTTCTTATGTTCTTTCAAGATCTACAAAATTAAACTAGATGATAACAGTTTACCACCAACCGCCATAAGTGAAAAACTATCTCACAAGTTCAAGATGAAGAAGTTTCTTCGGAAAGTTAAATTTCTGTGCTCAAGCAGAATGTCAAGGAACAAATTACAGCCTCAGAGGGACCGATACAAGATACCCTCTCCTGTCTTACTGGGATGGATATACCATGCAGACTCCCATTCCACATTCAGATGTCACACCTACTAAATTACTCTAACTTCTCTAGAACAAGGCATAGGTAGCTGCACTGTCAGACATGTTTGATGCTTATTCAGGCACCAAGCTATTAACTATTCATCTTGATTAACATAGGTGCATTATCTTCAGATCATTACAGGAGTGACATTTTCAATTTCACGGAATAGGGGAAAAGTGAAGAGTTCTCCCTGATTTCACCACAATAATACAAAAGTTAAAACTTGATAAGATGATTTACTTTGTACAAAATTCTCGTCTCAGGATAAGCTTAAAGGTTCAGTATCATAACAAGTTTGATATTTTCACTATGCTTAGAAAGTTAAAGTTGAAGAGACTCATCTTAAATGAACAAATCTTCAAAAAAATATTTCATTGAGGTGGCAGAGCAAACCATGCTCCTTTCCTTTGTATCATCTGACAATATGAACTACCAGTTAAGTGCAGAACGACAGAATATTGGATTTGGTATCAGTTTACCCTGGCCATTTTTGGCCCTGATGCCAGAAATTTAAACTAGGCAGATGCCTCATTTTAACTATCCAAAAACCATAAACATGATTATAAAATCAAGGAGTATGAAATGTTTCTTCGCTATGCTTGACGAAGTCTTCATAGAGAACTAGTTTAACAAATCACAGGCACGTAAACAAGAGTAACGATAGCACATGGAGGATATCCAATAAAAATCAAGGGAAGTAAGGCACATCATCTTCAATCCTACAGGTCACAAGTAGAATTACAGCAAAACAAATCCAAAAACAGATATAACAACTCAATCAGTTAGAAAGAAGCATCCGTACTTTGCTGATAGCCCAAGGTCATTGTCGCCTGATTGGAAAACACGTCTAAGAGAATCCTTGAACACGGAATGGCCAAAGCTTTCTGCAAGCACCACTAGGCCACCAGTTCTTTCAACGGAAACTTTGAGCTCAGCAACTCCAACCTAACAAGATCAAGTGACAAATAAAATAAAACCCAACTTAAGTAGCTCTTGGTCATTTAAAAACTAAATATTAGTTTGTAAATTACTACCACCACGTAAATTTCCTACTAGACCAATCCGTTGAAGTTAAACTCCGCAAGGTGAAGTTACAATGGGAAGAAAATATTGAATTTTCAGCCCAGCAACAGAATAAGTGAAAGTTGCCTCCTACATCGGATGGGTCATTGATTAACAAAGAACAAGATAACAAAACACACATAACGGCAGTAAAAGGATATTCACCACTAAATTGCTACTGAGAAATAATTGGTGCCAAAATAAAAGTTACTTCATCACAGTTTTAGAATAATGAGTGCCGGGGAATCACATAAGTTTAGGGCACATAGTGTAAAAAATATTTCAACCTTTGTATAGAATATAGTGTCATAGAGAAACTAAAAGGAAAAAGAGACAAACTAAATGCCACCCAACCATCATAAAGCGAACCACGATTCCACAAAACTAGATGTTGGACATTAAAATTTGTTCATGACCTTGGTGAACAAGTAAAAAATTACCTGATCAAGGGCACAAGCAAAGAGATCCAGTACATGGCCTTGATGAACAAGTTGCTTTGCAAGTCCCTCATAGAATCTGACAGCTTTGTGATAATATGGTGCTGAATCTTTATCCAAGTCTTTGTGCGATCGAATTGGCTCAGAAAGATTCTTTTATACAATCTAGCAAACATAAAGACAGAATGAATCATCACAACAAAAAAAACAAAAAACAAAAGAGAACTAAAACATCGAATGAGAAAGCTTAAGGTGAATTACAAACTGAATACATGAAAGATGGTCATTGCCTAGAAGAGTTACAATTAGCAGGAACATATTTCAATAGGTTATGCAATGTGAGAATGAGTTGGTCAGGAAGCTCAGCGCCAAGATGACTTTGATTAGTTAAGATGACAAAATAGGGATCAGAGAAGGATTAGAAAATGGCTTACAGCCCCAGGACCCTCTGTAGATGGACCACCAACGAACGCCATAATTCTAGCTCCAGAACCAGGAACACACGCTCCCAACAAACAAGCAGCTACACTAAGAGCAGTGCTGGTGCATCTGGTAGCCCTCTGATCAGTTGGTACTTGCCAGGGATCTTTCTGCAGCTCCTCTAGAACCTTTTTAGAACCCCCATTTGTGTGGTTCGTTGAAACGAAAAGGGGGAAATGAAGAGATTAAAAATTTGCCATTGCCAGACACGAAAGTAAAAGCATAGAAACACGAGAAAGCGGGACAAAGAAGGGTGATGATGGCATTTACCGAATTAAGAGCGAAGCCACAATCGGAAGCGGGCAGAAGAAAGCGCGAAATGCTCTCGCAAGAGAGTCCGTCTCTGGAACCGGCAATGACACCGGCGGGAAGTTTTGGCTTTTTGAGGAAAAAGCTCATGTGCTCGAGCAGCTGTTCCTTGGACACGTCTTTGGAGCCCTTAAAGACGTAGGTCTTGGGAAGCTGGCCGAAACCCAACTCATGAACGTAAACCAATGTCCCGAAAGTGATGAGCCCAACGAGGGAATTGTCCGGCAGAAGGTCGATCGCCTGAGATAAGGCCGACCTAAGGAAAGCCATCTCCTCCTCGATGATACAAGTATCCACCACGAACATGAAGACGGGGGAAGAAGAAGAAGAAGAAGAAGGGTTTTCACCTGGATATTCATACTCGATGGTAGTGTACTGCGGGAAGAGCTCGGAGGGGAGATGCTCTTCGCTGATGGATTCGTATTGCGGGGGGAAGTGATTGCGTTGGAAACAGAAGGGGCAGATCCAGATCTTGGCCGCGAAATCGACGATTGAGAAAGGATTGAGCACGGAACAGCAGGTCCGGCAGCGGAGAGGAGCGTAGGACAGAACTGGCAGGTTCGGGAAGGGCTTGATCGGAGTGTATATTGCGGAGATGGGAACAACACAGTTGCTCGCTTCCTGTTTGGTCCCCGGAAGCACATTCCATGGCATCCTTACACCGTCCTGAGTTTCCAGCTCCAAGAATTCCGCCATTTTTTCGCCAGTTGGGAGAATTCGTTCGTTCTTCTGCTTCTAATTTTCCCAAGCCTTCTTCTTGTTCTTCTCAATAATGTTCGAAATTCGATCTTACCAAAGATTGCTTCTGTTTCGAATTCGGACCCCAGACTGCGCTGCACAGAGATAGTGTGGCCTCCTGGACGCCGAATCAGTCCATGTCTTTGTTCTTGTTGTTGCAGTGAGTGGTCTCTTGAAATAGAAACTCGTAGTCGAAACTCCTGATATCCGACTATATTGGGAGTTGGGATTTGTTTTAAAAAAATTCCCAAAATACATACGTTTGGGGATTACCACTGTTGTCAACCGCACTGAATGCGTTTACCGTGTCAGACCAAATCGATGAATGGTTGACGTAACACTGAAACTTCAAACAATCGTAATTTTGCGCTCGGTTATCCGATTGTAGCAAAAAAAATTTATTCCATATAGCTTTTCAAGATCTTTCAATCTGCAAGAAGACTTAATCTCAAAAAAATGTCGTTTGTTACCCCGAACGAGCAATTTTTTGATTTTGCCAAACTTTGGAAGGCCATAACTTTTAGCTCCTCAATCCGAACGTCGTAAAAAAAAATTTATTGAGCATAACTTTTTAAGAACTACAACTTTTACTAGGAAATTTTTTAAAAAAAGAAATATTTTTGGGTATACGGGATTTTGGTAATAACTTTGCCTTTACTTTTCACAAATCCACATAGTTTCCAAAATTATGGTTATAATCAAAGTTGTAGTCCTTCAAAAGTTATGCGAAATCAAAAAAAAAAATTCATGACATTCGGATTGTGGAGCACAAGGTTATGGTCTTCCAAAGTTTGTCAAAATCGAAAAATTACTCGTTCGGGGTAGCAACTTGTCAAGCTGAGTACAAGCTCGGGTCAATATGAGCTCGATTTGAAATCATTCTTACTGAAAAATGTGTAAACATGAGAATATAAATGATAAAAATAACATTAGAAATTAAAAAATAACATCTAACTTCCATACACATTCATATTAACAAGATAATATTCATGTTAAGAAGAGTAATTAAACCTTCCACAAACTCTAACCAAGGCAGCTCGCGAACTTAACTCAACAAGCCGCCGTGTCAAGCTAGCTCACGAGCTTATCAAGCTGAGCATGGTCTAGCTCAAGCTTAGCTCGTTTACTAACGAGTTGGCTCGTGAGCTGGCTTGTTAAATAACGAGTCGAATGTCGAACAAATTTTTTTCGATTCGAACGTCGAGTTGCTCGCGGATGGTTTGACTCATTTGCAGCTCTACCCACAACATACCCACCTCCTACAACACTACAATAGTGGTGAGACGATGTTGCACCACCATGATAGCCAAAACTCCCTCCACCCGCACCGACGTCCTCATTGTGAACATACACCTCTGCAAGTCCGAGCTTGTTTCAACGAGGAAGTCCAACATAATGTTAATCTCATCATTGTCATACATGGTAACTACTTCGTACACCACATCGCTTCCACTGGGGTTTGGACAGTCTGGTAATTTTACAAACTCACATTTGCCCCATGCAAATCCATTCAACAGAAATGCCATAGAGTTCTTGCATATGAATCTGCTCTCAATCTTCAGGCTAGTGGATTCACCACCTTCACAATCTATCCCTTTTGAGTAGTTCGTCGTCAGACCATTCCACCAAAAAAGTAGTTGGAACTTTTTGGATTTTCTACCTATATATACAATTTAAAATAACTAAGTATACATATAATGTAACATATAATCTAAATTCAGCAAGAGTAACATATCCTAAGATCTACTTGAATCCAATAATTAGCATAATTTGTACAACTTCGTTCCTAAACACAAGCATGTTAAACACCAAAGCATAAATACTTAAACACAAGCATATTAAAAAACTTCGTCCTTACCTTCTGAGGTGAGGTTGAGGGCTTGAGGCAATGGAGATGAGTTGTGGGATAGATATGAAAGTTTGAACGCTTATGTGGTTGGAGAAGAGGAAATGAGAGTGAATAGAAATGAATGGTAGGGGACAATTATTTAATGGGAGCAAATTGTACATAGATCGCTTTTAGTCCTCACCGATATGTACTTAATTGTTGTAAGAAAACGATCAAAGTATGGATCGTTCAAAGCTAAAGCGATCAGCTCATTGCCGGTCCACCCAAAGTTGTTGGCCCCTAACTCTATTCTGGTGACAAGTCGGGTTGAAAGGTGTTGTACGGAGGGTACTTTGATCACTTCAGTCTAAAGCGATTTAAGTGGATCACTGGTGTCAAAAGTGATGAAAGATTGATCGATTAACATCCAAGTAATGAAGGCTTCATCAATTTACACTTGCCGACTTGCGCAATGATATAATTTATCTGTTGTTCCTATAGGTGTCAAAACATAGCCCGACCCGATTAACCCGCCCGATCAACCCGACTCGCAACCCGACCGCAACCCGAATTGACTAAAAGTCAACAACCCGTAACCCGCCCGACCCGCAACCCAACTAACTCGCAACCCGATTAACCCGAACCAGATTGACCCGCAACCCGATTAACCCGAACTCGATTGACTCGAACCCGACTAACCCGTAACCCGACCGACTCAACCCAAATTTCATCTAATCCACTTGAATAATTATAAAAATATACAATACATAGTTTTTCAAAATAAAGTTTTTCATTCTAAACTTAAGTAAAATTATTTTTTCATTTTGTATAAGAAATTTTAAAAATATGAAACTCACTTGATATTACGTATTTTAAGAAAATGACAAAAATTGAAACATGAAGGTCACTTGAGATCATGACAATATTAATATAATATATAAATTAAAATTTTGGTTAATTTAACTATTCAATAAAATTATCAATTAAATATAAATAAAGTAAAGTAATGTATTTGGTAATTTGATGTTGTTAAAAGAAGAGGGAAATTTTGGTGTATTCAAGTTTTTGGGAAAAGAAAGAAGAGGGAAATTTGGTTCTTTGAATTTTTTAGAAAAGAAACAAGTGGGAATTTTGGTGGTTTTGATATGTGGAAGAGAAAGAAGTGAGAAAATTTGATTCTTTTGATTATGAAAGAGAAATAAGGAGGGAAACTTTTGACTTTTCAACTTTTTGTAGAAGGAAAGAAGAGGGTAATTTGGTTCTTTCAATTTTATGGAAGAGAAAGATGAGAGAAAATTGAGTTTTTCTAATGTATGGAAAGAGAAAGAAGGAGTGAAATTTTAGTATTTTTGTGAAAAGAAAGAAGGAAACAAATTTGGTGTTTTCAATTTTTTGGTTTTTCAACTTTTTGTAGAAAGAAAGAAGAGAGTAATTTGGTTCTTTCAATCAACAGTATAATTTATAGCTGAAAAGTAAAACTGCACCCCCCATTCAAAATTTCCTGCCCATAGAGTGATTTTAGGAAGCTGATGTGGCAGAGTGTTAAGCGGGAAAAAAAAAAGAGTCCCCGCCTGATTTCAGAACCAAAAAACTGTCCACTACCCACCTTTTCTCCTGCCAGGCCACGTTGTCATTTAATTTGTATTTATTTTTTATTTCCCAGGAAGGAAATGGTCCACTGAAGAAGCGTGCAAAACAACAAAACCCAGAGGCAAAACTCCTTCCTTTTCCCCTTCCATCGGTTCCTTTGTTTTTTCTACTGTTATTAAGAGAGAGAGAGAGAGAGAGAGAGAGAGAGAGAGAGAGAGACAGAAAGGGAATCGCAATCCCAATCTTACAGAGAGAGAGAGGGGGAAAGGTGAAAGGGAGAAGGAAGTCGATTGTGAGGTGCGAGCTCCCGCCTGTGAACTACTCCGCCGCCGTGGATTTGCGCCGCCCCGGCGGCGAGGTTGTGGAAGGGAACTGGATGGCTTCTTCGAGGAGGGCGGCGAATCAGACGGCGGATGAGGAAAATTCCGATTCCGTCCCCGGTTGGGGGAAAGTGGTCTACGAGGCGATTCTGGATTGGAACACGGTGGTGGTGTTGGCGAAAGGGTTGAATCTGAAGCCGCGAAGGGAAGTCGATCCGGCCGAATTCAGGTGCCATTTCTCGCTGAGCAACAATTTGACCAGAGAGGAGAGCTTCGTCTTCACCACCGAAGCCACCGTCGCGGCTCAGGAAGTGGTCCGCTGCTTGCATCCGGAAAAACAACACCGCGCTTGCCGAAGGAATCCGCGTCACCGTCAGCCGCGTCGAAGACTCTGCCGCCTCCCCTGCCTCGGCCTCCCCTGCAGCTCTGCCATCGGTGGCGAAAGTGTACAACCCGAAATCCCACGGAATGAGAGGGAAATGGGAAGAGAAGTACGAGCTCTGCGCTTGCACGATGCTGTGGAATCAAGCGTCGGTTTTGAAGGAATGGGTGATGTACCACTCGTGGCTGGGAGTGGAGCGATGGTTCATCTACGGCAACAACAGCGACGACGGGCTACAAGACGTCGCCGACGAGCTCAACACGCGGAATCACAATGTCTCCAGGCACGTCTGGCGTGGATCAAAGCGCAGGAGGCAGGGTTCTCGCATTGTGCTCTGAGAGCAAAGTACGAGTGCAAGTGGGTCGGCTTCTTCGACGTCGATGAGTTCTTCTACTTCCCTCACTACAGTGGCCAAACCCCCTTGCCAGGGCAGAACTCGCTCCGCGCCATGGTCTCGAACTACACCGATTCGCCCACGATCGCGGAGGTGAGGACAATGTGCCACAGCTTCGGTCCATCGGGGCTGACAGAACCGCCGAAGCAAGGTGTGACGGTAGGTTACACATGCAGGCTGCAGGCTCCTGAAAGGCACAAGTCCTTCGTCCGACCGGACCTTCTCGACATGACGCTGCTGAACATTGTGCATCACTTCAAGCTGAGGGAAGGATACAAGTCGACGAACGTGGCGGAGGGGACGGAGGTGATCAACCACTACAAGTACCAGGTGTGGGACACTTTCAAGGCCAAGTTTTTCAGGAGGGTTTCGACCTATGTGACCAACTGGCAGGACGATCACATGTATTTGTGTTGACACATGTATTTGTGTTGTTTCATTTGTTGCATCATATATATTTTAATTCCAGGTCATGTGAGGATCATGCTAGCCTAGACAGGGATGGTTCCGCCCATATAAGATTATGGTACACCCGTCTTAATGGTCTATTTCGATGGCGGATAGGCAATGATGAGGGAGGTTTGCGGATTTTGATCTTTTTTTTATAAGCTATTGTTTTGATTGGTTATACCTCAATGTTTTGTTTAATTATTTCTTGATTCCTTTGTTCTCTCTTTGGAGTTACTCACCTTAATTTAGTGGAATCTCTTGGCAATTTTCTGATAATTGACTTGCTGCTCTCAAATGCACAAATTTGCAGGATGGCTTATGGCAATGCACCAGATGCTGCTTAGCTCAGGTTTCGATTATATCTTCCACCCTGCTATCAAAGTTGACCCTTGGCTTCCGAGATATTGAAGTCTCCTCTTTATGGTTTGGCTTTATTTCTTTCTATTTCCTGGCATGGTCCTCCAATTCTTGATTGTGGGTTTTAGTTCTCAAAATCAGGACTTGCTTTTCTTGCCATGATATGGCTTCAATGCATGAACCGCTTCTTTTGGTTGAGTTTTTGTTAGTGGTTTAAACAATTAGCATATTTTCTAAATGTAGGGTAATTTGGTGGGGGAGACTAATCAATTCTACATTTTCAGATACATTAGCCTACTTTCAATATGCAGTGTTTGTATGTATGATTCGAGAGTAGGGGTCTATGATCCATATGTCGTCTTTCAGGCCTGCACTTTCGGCTGATATATGTTTATCACTCCAACGAATGAAGCCTTACAAATTTATGGGGGTTGATGCTTACCCCGGGTGAGTTAGTCGGTGCATTTATGTCCTCTCCTCCCTACTGCTTTATTAGCCGTTTGTCTCACTTTTAGTCGTTCTGCTCTAGAAGGTGACCATTATATCATGTGTGATCTGATCAATTTCAATGTTTTTCATTCACGTGTTTCCTTATTACTAGCTCTATTCCCACACTTCGAAGCGATTAGTTTGAGCCTTCCAGTATATGATCCTATAAACTCATTTACAATTGAATTGTCAGTATAAGCTATTTTACTTGCATTATATAACGCTTTGGAGTTTGGGACATTTTATTCTTAAAGCTTTTAGTCATTTTTGCTATATGGTTTCGATTTTTTTATTTGGTTTAGATATTTATCCAGTTCGATCTGGCTTTCAAGTTGTACGAAATTAAGTTGGCTGAATCTATCACTTAAAAAAAAAAGTTTGCTGAATCTATCTATTTTAGGAGTCAAAAGTTCTATCATCTACTTGAAAAAGAACTCTTAAGGCGTGTGTCTATTTCTTTGTAATAACTTGGTTTGTTTTTCCTAATTATTTTCTCTGTCATTGTTGACATGGCCTGCAATTTCTCATTAACAAAAAGGACTATGCATGGTTTCCTACTCCAAACATGCTTTGTAGTGTCTTCCCAGTTCCCACCGCTTCGACATTGGTGAAACACAAAGCTCCTTTGCTATATCACCAACAAAGATGTTTCATTATTATCAAAACTACGCTGGTACGTGCCTAGACTAATTGTTCTTTATCAATGCCCAGTTAGTAACTTTGTTCTAATATGCCTCTTAATTTTCAACAACGACAAGTTTACAGTTGTTCTCATTCTGTTCAACTTATCTTCCACTATGCTTTCAGTATGCCTCCTTTCGTTGATGTTTTATATGTTCATATGACAAGAATCGTTACCTCATTTTCATCATTGATACAAGATCTCTTGAGTGATCTCTTGCTATTATTTCATAGTAGAACCTTTAATATACCAAACCAATTTCAGTTACAGACAATCATGTCACCAATTTACCTGAGAAATTTTAATGGAAATCACTGTGGTTTTTCAGCCAAACACTTGCTGATTTTGGTTATTCCCCCGTTGTTACTATATTTGCACTTTAGACACCCAGTTGTAATCTTCGACGATTCCAACTTCGTGTGGATGCTAATTCCTCAATTATGACTTAGTAATGATGTAGTCTTTAACTGATAATTTACCCCTCTTTTGGGTACATATGCACCTATTTTTGTTCACAAATTTATTTTTAATTTCACAACCAAGATAGTCAACTGGGGTCTGGGTGCATTTCCTAATTACAAATGCTTCCCATCACACCCAATGTTCCGCCACCGCCACCATCACTTCCAAGTTCCAACCATGGGCAAGATACAAAACTCAACATCTTCATTTCACCGGCCATGGCCAGATCAGAAACCAAATATGTTAAGAGTTAGATAGATAAATGATGGATGATGTGAGCGCTTGACCGAGAGCGGTGAATTGGTTGGGAAGTTGCCAAGTTTTTCGGCAATAAGGTGGTCAGCCACCCTGCCGATGAATCAGACCCCATAACGTAACATTTAATATAAATAGCCTTGATTCTGCTGATGTTTCTATTTTTAGAATGTGAATTGAAATGCTGCAGCAAAAGAAGGAGAAGGAAAGATCAATATTTTGGCGGGCTAGGGCTGGAACTGAAAGTTGCGATGAGTTTTGATGTGCAGATATATTTTCTATTACTGAAACTGCTAGCCTTAGATATTTGTGAAAGCTCTCTTTGAGAACTCAGAGTTGTCTGCTTTATTCATCTAATTTGAGCTCAAACAATTGTGCTAACCTATAGTTTTTATTGTCGGGCCTCATTCTCTTTTCACTGATAAATTGCCTAATAACAAAATTAAATTGACCTACAGTGACTTTTGTTTTCCAGGTTCTTTCACCGTGTGTGGTAGCGAATATGAAATATAACCGGTAGCATTTTGTTCTTTTTTATATTCACTTTAGAAATTTTACATGTTTTTTTTTTGGAATTCAAGAGGTATGGATCCGTACATCGATAATAACAAATCTTATAAAGAAAAACAATTTAAGCAATTTATATTGAATGTAAAAAAGTATAAAATTTTATTCTAAAATATAAAAAATATAGATACCAGAAACCTAGGATGGCCACATCACCAGAACTAATTACTTACTAATATAAAATTCAAAAGTAACACAAATATTATTTTCCCTTTATGAATAAACTATTTAAAAGACTGTAAATTTTTTGAAAATATGCAAATTGGTTAATACAAAACAACAAAATATAATACAAAATTCATCCGACCAACGGGTCGGGTAAAAGCTAGTTTTATGGAAGAGAAAGATGAGGGAAAATTGAGTTTTTCTAATGTATGGAAGGAGAAAGAAGGAGTGGAATTTTAGTATTTTTGTGAAAAGAAAGAAGGAAACAAATTTGGTGTTTTCAATTTTTTGGTTTTTCATAATTTTAGTTTTTGAAATATGAATCTTTAACTTTTATATGGAGGGCATGACTAGTTAAAATTATTCTTATATGCTTTGAAGGCTAATATGTATATATGTATGTAATTTTTTATGGTCTAATAAATAAATTAACCATTAGTTACAACAATTTATACTAAACTTGATAAGTAATCTTTGACGGTTCGTTGTTTAGGATATAAAGTATATGGTTAGGGTATAAGGTATAAGGTACATATGGTTTAGGGTGTATATGGTTAGGGTATAAGATATTGATGGTTTTGACGGTTCTAAATTTTTTATTAACATATGTTCACTGAAGTCATTTGAAGTCTTTAACGGCAGGAGATCTCTTTTTAATTTATGTTGTATGGTACGTGGTTAGGGTACAAGGTATGTGGTGTAAAGTATAGGATATATGGTTAGGGTATAACAATTAGCAAATATCACTTTTTATCTATGTTTTGAAAATCAAAGTATGAATTTCACTTATAAATTAACTATACTAGCAAAATCACAACTCAAGGACATATGGTTAGGGTATAGGTTATGTGGTTAGTGTGTAATGTATTGATGGTTTAGGGTATACATTATACAATCAACAACATATACTAACTTAATATTGTTGATTGAGGGTAAAGCTAAGTGTATAGGATATATGCTATTGAGTAAGTTATGATTGAAGTCACAATAATTTTACTAAATTTGATAGCTAATCTTTAATGGTAAATTTTTAGGATAATTCGAACAATTTTACAAATAACTCGTTTGGCAACAGTTTACTAAAATTATTTGGGCAATGAGTTATTTTGAAATAACTCTTTTTATCACTATGCTTTTGCCAAATACCACACGCCAAATACCAGATTTGCATGGTTATACTAAACGAGATACTTTAATCCAATTACTACTGAATTAATACTAAAATATCAAATAAACAATTAACGGTGTCTTTTGGTTGCAAATATTGATATCACCATTACTATTAGCTATAATACTTTACCAATTATGATTAATTACATAACAAGTTTGCAAGTCATACAAATTGATTTAACATTTTGACTAGTTTTTTTCAAAAAAATAAAGTATATATATACGAGGTAGAAATAAATTGGTTAAAAAGTTGAGAAAATATTTTAAATTAGTGTAATAAAATGTGTAAGTTGGTAATGAGTAATGAGTTAAGTCACTTGATGCGCTGGCCCGAACAACCCGACCCGCCCGCAACCCTCCCGACCCAAAACCCGATGAACCCGCAACTCGATTGAACCCGAACCCGATGAACCCGCAACCCGATTGAACCCGAACCCGATGAACCCACAACCCGACTAACCCGCAACCCGTTTGAACCCGCAACCCAACTAACCCACAACCCGTTTGAACCCGAACCCGATTGAACCCAGCCCGAACCCGCCCGATTGACACCTCACTTCACTTGTGCCCTTCAGCGATTTACTGTCCATCGCTTCACCTAACATTAATCAAGTTTCCGACAATGGTTGATTGTTTTTCTCAACTCTAATGAAAGGGCAAATTGCTTTTGTCTAAAAAGATGAATCCAAAACATGTGTATAATTAGAAAAAGAATCCAAAACATAGTGAAATTTTTTTATAGAAAGTTTTTTTTTTTAAAGATTTTTTTTAAGAATGAGTATAATTAGAAAAAAAAAATCTAGCATTGGAGTTGTTCTTATAATGCATCCCCGGCGACCCGCCGACTGGACACCTCTTCTTCCACTTCTCGACTTCCATCTGCACCAGGAAGCTTTTCCCAAAGGCCGATTCCACTTCTCTTTTCTCTTCCATTTATTCCTCTCTTTCATGCTTCAATTCACCGACCACCAATTCTCCTCTTTTCTCTCCCATTCGGAAGATACTGAGAACCCTAATTTCACTTTATCTAGCTGCCAATTTTTTTTTTACGGATCAACCCACAACCAATACTTTTTCCCATTGTTCCACCCGTCGAGTCGGCGATAAATCGGTGGACCTGCCCACTTTATCGCTTGGGTAAAAAACGAGAGATGTACCATTGCGTTATGGATGGAATGACATTGACGGCAGTTACTGGGAGTGTGCTGCCCACCACCGTGCAATTGGAGTCGAAGAAGAGAGGTTTCGTGAACGGCGAGAACAACAATAGGAGTACACACCAGAGCCAACGATCACAGTCTCCAGCTTCGTTTCCGAAGCTATCTCTTAGCAAACCGTCGTGGCTTGTTACCACTGAGGCAGGCCAAATCCTCGAACCCTTTCTCTTCTCTGCTCTCTCCGACTCTGTTTTTTCTTTCTTTCTCTGAATAGGCTACCGTTTGATGCAGTCGAATGTGCGGAAGGCAGCGAGGAAGAAAGCAGATCCACCATGTATCATCTGCAAAGGGAGTGGGAGAGTTGATTGCCACGATTGCTCTGGATCAGGTGAGGCGGCTCCTCTTTCTGTTTCTTTGGTTTCAAAGAACGCATAAAAAAACCGAACTTATAAGTTTTATCGGTTAACAACATGTTATCAGTTCGGTTAGCGTTTTGTTTGGTGGTTAACCACCAAACAAATCATCTAACTAAAATCAAATCACTAAAGGCATGTTTGAAAGTTAGGATTCTTTAAATTGATGTATTTAATCTATGTATGTATTATAATTAGATGTATTGTTTCAATGTATGAATTTGAAAAATACATTGTTTGGACTTTAGAGGTTGAATGATTTTGGTGGTCCCTCAAAACATAAGGAAGAAAAAGTGAGTTAACAATCCCTCAAACACAATCTCTACTAAAAGTTGAGATTGACAATCATTCATAATGAATGATTCTGGTGGTCCCATCTGTAGTTAATTACAAGTATTCTGTTTTTGTTTAAGACAAAAAAAAAAAGATGAATTCTTCTGATTACATGTATTGGTTAAATACACCATATGAAATCCCAATTTTCAAACGACCCCTAAGTTAAGTACTTAAAAAAAAAAGTTGAGTGTTTGGTTGAAAATTTATGAAAGTGCTTTTTAATATCAAAGGTTGTGTAAAATGACTATAAAGGACTTATAATATAAATTATGAATAATAATTCTAAATAATAAAATGTAGTCAAAATGAATCTTGTTAGACTTTTTTTATATTAAATAATATGATTTTATACTTAATTTTTTTACAATGATATAAATGTAAGAAAATCATATTTTCTGAAATAAAATTAAAAAGTGGTAAGGATAACCTTGTATTGGAGCTTCTGCTGTTATGTGATAGAGCCCGGGGAATTGGGTTCTATCTAGGGATTGGGATTGGGAAGGATCAATTAGGGGTTGATCTCTTGTGTCACAAAAAGGAGGAAGGAGAAGGGAATTGTTTGGTCGAGAGGAGGGGGGGGGGGGGGGGGGCAATCTGTCGAAAGAGAGAGAGGAGGGAGTAAGGGAGTCGGCCGAAGTTGAGAGAAGGATCAATTAGGGATTGATCTCTTGTGTCACAAAAAAGAGGAAGGAGAAGGGGATTGTTTGGTCGAGAGAGAAGAAGGAGGGGGGGGGGGGGGGGGGTGTTGGCGGCAATCTGTCGAAAGAGAGAGAGGAGGGAGTAAGGGGGTCGGCCGAAGTTGGGAGAGAGGAAGAGAGAGAGTGGAAAAATTAGGATTTAGGTTTAATCTTTGCTTACCTCCATAATCCCACGTACAAGTAGTTTATATAAAATTGACTATTTCCCTACTACTACCCGATTTATCAATTATTCCCCAATTCCCGAATAGCCCCACTAATCCGAATAATAATAAAACGACAATAATTCAAAGTACTAAAATGCAAGTTCTCATCATTGTGTTATACAAAAACGCTTTTCGGCTTTTCAAAAGTCGAACTTTTAGAAGTGTTTGGCCCTCCTTCAGATTTTGAAGTCGAAAAACACTTCTAAAAGTCAGGCCAAACATAGGCATTATCGGTTATCGATTAACTACTTATCATTATTTTTTTTTTTAGCAATAGATAACTGGTATTACCAAATCAAAGATATCAATGTTTACAATCCAAAAAGAAACCACTGATCAAAATCAAAACTCGCAACAACAGCAGATAACAAAGAGAGGGTCTTCCTGACTACATCATGAGCCACCCGATTGTCATTCCTGCCAACAAAAGAAACACCAAAAGACCGATATTGCCTCCGCAACTCCTCAATTTCCACAAGTATGCGCCCTCCCTTCACATCCCTAGCATCCCGATGCTGAATCTTCTCAATCACACCCTTGGCATCTCCATAAAACCAAACTGAATCCATCCCCTTCGTTAAGCACCACTGGATAGCGTCCCGAAATGCCACTAACTCCACTAGAAAAGGATCAACAATACCTGCATAATAAAATCCCTTGACCATACACACCCGCCCCATGCCATCTCGGACAACCAAGCCCCCCGCCCCATGCGATCCCGGCGCCACTGCCCCATCCACATAACAGGAAAACGGTAACGCCAGAGGCGACTGGGCTGGACCCCGGTCTCCAGACGCAATTCGCCGCTGAAGCACCGGTACTGGCTCTGGCTGAACAAACGCCAACCATTCATGCACCTGCATCTCAAACTGACGAACTAAGCATGGTATATCGTACTGTATATGCTCAAAGACTACCCAATTCCGGCTCTTCCAAATCCTCCAAAGCAAAGCCACCATACGCACAATCCGCTCTGTCCCATCATCCTGTTCAACCAGCCTACGGAAGAACAAAGCAAAGTTAGACACCCCCGCCATCCCATCCACACCTGTTACACCCGAGCGATTCCATAGGGCCACTGCAACTCTACAAGACAGAAACAAATGCTCCAGGGTCTCCACCGGTTCCCAGCAGACCGGGCATCTGGGAGATAGCGTCTCACCATCCTCAGAAGGGTCAAGGACCTCAGCCGGATTTTGTCCCCTCTTTTCAAAGATAGCCTCCGCCGTGGGTAGAACCCGCCTAAGAAGTTGCCAAACAAAGAATTTCAACTTAGGAGGCAGCGGAAAACCCCACACTTTCTTCCAAAAGCCCATATCAAAGAAAGAAACCTCCTCCTTCCATCCCGGAGCTGCACGGCTGAGCTGAAGAGCCAGATGGTACCCTGACTTCACTGTATACTCCCCATCTGCCTCCCAAGCCCAAACACAGCGATCAGGAATCTGTCGAACTGGCAATGGAATAGAGCAAATCCTCCGCATCACTGACTCAGGGAAACAATGTTGGAGACACTCAACACACCATTTCCCCGTACCAGGGACCAAGAACGACTCTACCCTGGCCTCTGCCAACCCCGGGACTGAGGAGAGTACAGAAACCTCCTCACGCCTCACCCCAGGAATCCAACTATCTTCCAGCACCCTCACGCCTTTCCCATCCCCAATCTGCCAAACCAGCCCCTGCTGCAATAAATCTCTGCCATGGAGCACACTAGTCCACCCCCAGGACGGTCGAGACCCACGCTTAGCTTGCAGTATCGAAGTTTGCGCAAAATACTTCCCCCTCAAAACCTGTGCCAGTAAAGTATGTGGTTCTTGCCAAACCCGCCAAGCCACTTTTGCCAACAACGCTTGATTGAAGTCCTCAAAACGTCTAAACCCAAGGCCACCATCGAATTTGCTACGACATAGGTTCCGCCAGGAAACCCAATGCGCCTTTTCCTTATTCACCGAGTACCCCCACCAAAAGCGAGCCATATGCTTGTCCAGTTTTCGACATAATGTTACTGGCAAGAGAAAACAAGACATAACATAAATTGGGTGCGCAGCCGCTACTGCTTTAAGCAGAACCTCCTTTGCAGCCCACGACAAATGTCTCTGCTTCCATCCCTGAAGTTTTGCCAATAATCTTTCCTCCAGATACCGGAATGTCTCCACCTTAGATCGCTGCACTAGGGTGGGCAGGCCCAGGTACTTGTCCTGAACTCCCACAGCCCGCTACTGCTTTAAGCAGAACCTCCTTTGCAGCCCACGACAAATGTCTCTGTTTCCATCCCTGAAGTTTTGCCAATAATCTTTCCTCCAGATACCGGAATGTCTCCACCTTAGATCGCTGCACTAGGGTGGACAGGCCCAGGTACTTGTCCTGAACTCCCACAGCCTCAACTACTAATCGTTATTATCAATAGATTATCAGTTAAAACTGATAATCGACTAACTGTTAAAAATGGGGGTGGAAAGAAAATCTACGCTCAAGCAGATGCTATTTCAAGTCCAATCCGGCATGGTTGTTAGCACCACCGTAGCCGGATTCCTTCGATTAACAATCATGTGAGATAGACAACTTTAACCCAACTGCCAAGAGTGTTATATAGTGCAATTCCTTTTGAACTGATTGATGATCAATTCCGTCACCAATCCAAAATCATGTTCGATGGTTTTGCAGGGAGGACCAACTGTGTTCACCTAGTGATGCTGCCAAGAGGAGAATGGCCAAGATGGTAATGTACCATTACCAAAACCATCTTATAACCATATTTAACGCAACTTTCAACAGCTCTTAACCTTGTAGTTACTGGGTTGGATGCATATGCAGGTGCAAGACATGTGGCGGCAGCGGCCTTGGCTATTGCTCTCGATGCCTCGGGACGGGAGAGTACAGATATGTCATGGGCTTCCACTTCATGAACCGGGATGACCAACACAATGGCGCCCCTTGATCAGATCACCAGTGCCATCGTTATCGAACTACTCCAAACTTGCCTTGTGGCCGTTTGAGTGAAGGAGACTACAGAAGCTGCAGATTGAGATGTGATCAAAGAGCATTATGTAGAGCTACATTATACTTGCTACGATTCATTGAGAGTGGCGGATTAACTTCAAATTTAGTGCACATACAAACTGCATAGACGTCTCAGCCTTGCCTTCAATTCCACAATGTTCCACCCAAGAATAATACATCTCGAATCTCAAAGGCAAAACATGTATATACATACCCGCTTGAAGCTCTAAAACTAACGAGATAAAAGTCCAGAAGATGTGTGTACTACAAACAAATTACCATAAGCAGATCATGTAAGGTTTAATGTTAACATACTACGCGAGCCTTATCATGGACTAAACAAAACAAAAAAAAAAAAAAAACAAAAACCACGCCCATCATTTTGATTGATAAATGATGCAAGCTAAGAACCTTTGGTCGGATCATCTACAGGTAGATCATCTTCATCATGGTAGATGTTTTCTGCCATTTGCCATATCTGAAGGATGTTATCTTCTGCAACGCTTGCCACAACCCAGTCCTCACAAGGATTCCAGGAGAAATCAGATATTTTACTGGTGTGCCCACCATGAATGAAGAGCAACTCCGGTGGACCATCTTCAGCATCTTCAGGTGTCTGCTCCTCATCAATCCTGCAACAACACACGCGCGATGTCAAACATCATCATATAAGCACATGATGGTAAGATCACTGCATAACAAAAGGGAAGAACATGAACTTGGGTTTCGGGATAAGGACGGGCCAGGGACTCATAATATCACCCATAAGTCCTGGAATCTAGAGGTTTGAGATCCAGCAGTCTCTTGCACTCATCAAAATGTACTATGAAAAAAAGAATTCATACTTGGGACTCAAACGTATGGAGAACCTTCTGCATTGTTGATTTCAGAGTTCTTGTAAGATGCAAATGTAACTGATGAAACAAGAACCCTACTTCTCTAAGCAACGTGCATGCAATCATTTGTAAATTCAGTCAAAAGATGTTGGCATACTGATCTTGTGCTCGGAAGCATCAGGTTATCTTGCTATTTCATTTATCACGGGTGGGAACTGGGAAGGATGATAATGATTGCAGAAGCCTTGGTTTTACTTTTACTTTTGTACTCAAATATGATTCTTTCTCTATATGTTCCAAACTCTCAGTGTGACATCTTAAAGCAACATTTGTACTCAGGTAATTGCATTCAATCCAAAGCATAGAAGCATGTTTCAGGAATCCTTAAAGCATCTACTTCAAGATCCTTCTTTCACAACTTTCAAATTCAACAGTTTGAAATGTTAACAAAAGAATTATGTTCCCAGAAATCACATTGAGCATAATGCTTTAAAACTTCACAAAGGTGTAATGTAAATTATTGCTTGCTTCCGGATATGTCAGATACAAGAAAGAGTGCAAGTGCAAATCCCAGGTGAAGTTGAATGAATAAATGTCTATCCTGGTTTATTCTTATTCCTTACAAATCCATTTATAGTTTGACAAAGTATATCTTTATATTATTATTATTATTCTTTTTTTTTTTTTTTTTTTGTATCAAGAAGTGGGAAAGTTACCTAAACGTGATGTTAGTCATAGACATATAGAAGCCTTCAAACGAAAAAAACTCAGAAAAATAATACTGAAGAGAATTAACCCACCTGCTAAGATCCCAAACCAGGAGCCTCCTTCCAAGGCAACAAGAAGCCAAGATTGTCTCATTCTTAGGATTCCAGCCTACTTGGAAAACCTCTTCCCTGTCAAAGCAAAATCATATATAAGAATGCAGGAAGATGAATATCAGAGCATATGTACCACATTTACAGCATCCAATTTATAAAATCCATAGCGCATTCACATGAGAAAAGCAATAATGTTGAGAGAAACATACTTGTGACAATCAAATGTATGAAGTGCAGTATTGATCTTGCGCAAGTCAAATAATTTGACTGTCTTATCAGTGGATCCAGTCGCCACAACCCACTCATTGAAAGGATTGAAAGCCAAGCAGTTAACCTGACAGGAAATCACAATAACAAACATCTCAATTCAATAACATAGTAAACAATACCCTTAATATGAAGCACCAGACAAAGACAATATGAGAATTATCATTTATGAACAACCTTCGTAAAAATGCTAACTTTAAGCAAGGAACTTAGTGAAGTGCCAGATCTCTCAAGCAGTGTGAAGAAACCCATCCTTTTAATGGGGCCAATAAGTAATACTGGAATTGGGACGTTACCTCACTTTGATGAGCAACAACAGATTGGACAGGCTTGGTTACTGCTGGAGTTCGAAGATCCCATATAAGCAAGTATTGATCATCCCCCACAGAACCAAATAAGTATTCATGCCTCAGATGCCATGCCACATCTTCTACAACGCCTTCATGCACCTAGTCAAATTAACAGAGCTAAATGAATGTTTAAAGGAAATTGAGAAGGAATAGACGAAGACATTCAAACACTCCAGGACATAAAGGGAGATTTCAATAAGTGTGGCACTCTACAATTCATCCGCCCTAATATTTCCTACAGTGACTGCATTGAAGTTGGAAAGAAACAGTACGCAACAGTGAAGAGGTTTAAGACCTTGAAAATCTGGGTGGCATCAAGAGACTTATTTTTAGGAGCAGCATTGATGTCCCACAAGCAAATCTGGGCATCATCAGAACCACTAAGCAAATGACCTTCCTTGAACTTACTCCAGGAGAGACCATAACCTTCAGTGCTGTGGCCTCTCAACCTCAAATCAGGACTGCAAGCGCCATCCAGAGGAGGTTTAGAAGGGTGCTTGCTGTAGTCAAACACATAGACTTCGGCGCTGACGGTCTTGGTGGCAATTATAAAAGGGTTTTGAGGCATATAACGAGCCCTGTTAACCTCTCCATCGTGATTAATCTGCTGAATGATTTGAACCTGAAAGTTGGAAAAATGAGATAACCGCAAAAGCAAAAGAGACAAAGGAAGCAGAGGCAGAGCCCGGAAATAAAAAGGAAGGTACCTTGCCGTTGGCAGCTCCAAATCCGCCGGAGTCGGAGCGGTCGTCGTCGTAGTGGCGGGCGTCATTCTCGGCATCGTCTAAAGGAAGCTGAACTTGAGCGAGCATGAGATAATTAGGCTCGTTCTCGGAGGTGTGGGTGCCAAGGATCATCTTTTGGACGGAGTAGTCCTTACCGGGAGGCTCATCGCGGTCCGGCAACCACTCCACAGTAAGCGACGGCCACTCGAGGGCGTGAGTGATAACTAGGTCGTAGAGGAAAGGAGTGTTCTTCTTCCAAATCTTGTACTCCTCGTTAATCAGCCTTTCCTCGATCTCTCCCCTCATTTCGTCCTCGTCTTTCCCCATTGGCTCCTTCACCCTCACCTTCACTTCAGATTTCGCAAACGGCACGCCTGAATTGCCCTTGCCCACTGCGCCGGTCAATGGATACGGATTCCGCCGATGGTTAGGGTTTCTGTTTACGCTTTCTAGCTGGAAGAGTGCGGTGAAGATGGTAAGGGTTCAGTCGTTGTCGTTCAGTGACGTCGTGTTAATTGGGGATTTCGGAACTTTGGGGGAAAGGAAGGAATGGACTAATTAATTTAACAAAAAGGAAAAAGGGAAAATGGGTGGGAATTGGGAAACCGGAGGTCACATTCCCGCCAATACGCAAAATAGAAACTAGTTCTCCCCCACTATGACAAAAAAAAAAAAAAAAACTAGTTCTCCCCCAAAATATTATTTTTAATGATGTTATATATCAATTTGATAAAAAAAAAATGATCCTTTTTCTCCCTCACAGTACACATCCGGAATTTCATTCGGTAGCGAAGCAAATCAAATTAAATAAATAAATCACTTTGGTCAATAAGATGTTGAACTAATGAAGAGAAAGTATTTTTTTTTTAATAATATGAGCAGTTTTGTTGTACCTTTTCGGCTTAGGACAAATCCATGAATGAGCATCCTCCATTTTCAGAGTGAAAATCAAAGTAGTGAACTCCTGCAAAAACAATAAACACCACAAAATGCTAAATAAAAACAAAGAGTCACCTCCAAAGCTGAAAGGAAAGCACCAACGCCCCGATGTAAACCCTATTTACAGCGTTACATGCAAAATTAACAAACAGTCGGTCCCAAACAGGACAATTTACAAGTGGCATGATCCCAATGATCAATTTACATGTGGCACAATCGAGAAAACACTTATGATCCTCGAGAAAGGCCATGTCATTTGGTGCTTGAAGGCCCCAAGTGGTTACAAGGCTGGTGGAGATGGATCTAAGACTAACCCAACGAAACAAAGCTGGCTCCTGCAAAACAAACACACTATAGCTCCTACCAAAGCTATCAAAGAAGCTAGCAAAAAAGACCTGCAGCCCTTAAGGCCCACTAGAAGTTATCAACATGTGTCGAGCCAAGATGGCATATAGACCAAATGGGCCTTACTGCAGAACATACCCCACCTCTCCACTTACTCACCAGTGCCATAATGTTTGCGTAGGGATAAGGATAGAGCTAGTTTCCTTAGTGGTGATAATGCCACGTGCCCGCACCAAGCTCCACCGCTTCTTCAAGTTTCTCACCTGGAAACAATAAATTGAAGGGCATAGGTTTGTCTAGATTGAAGCTGATGACAACAACAATGACTACTGCAACATAATTTGGGTATATGAAAGGTGAAGCTAAAAAATATAAATCTTGCATCCATCTAGCCAAATAAAGGTAGAGTGGATACAGTTGGTGATTTGCGACCCATTAGCCTTTGCACCGTCTCTTATAAGACGCTTGTGAAGTGCTTGGCAAATCGGTTGAAGCCGTTTATGCCTAACCGTATCAAGCCTAACTAGACGAGTTTTGTTCTGGATCGCCACATTCAGAGCAATATCATCATCCTAGAAGATGTGATTCATCCTACGCAAATGAAGACATGGAAAAAAGAGAAGATGGTGATTAAGATCGATCTAGCTAAAGCTTATGATCGCCGCAACTAGTACTTTATGGTTAACTCTCTCTTTGCGGAGAGCCTCCCTGACAAGTTCGTTAACATGGTCGTAGCTTGCTTGACAACTTCATCTTTCAAAGTTCTATGGGATGGAGCTATGACAGGCTCCTTCCGGCCGACTAGAGGTCTCCGCCAGGGATGCTCGTTATTCCCCTATATCTTTGCTCTATACATAGAGAGGCTGAGCCATCTCATTCAAGAAGCAACTCGGGCCAAAAGATGGAAACCGCTGCAGCTTGTGCATGGTGGGACAGAGCTAACTCATTTTTTTTTTTTTTTGCAGATAATCTGGTATTGTTTGATAAAGCCTCAATGAAGCAAACATATGTTGTCATGGAGTGCCTAGATAGATTCTGTGGGGCGTCAGGTGAAATTTTCAGTAAGGACAAGCCACGCGTCTTCTTCTCCAAGAACGTCTGATGGGATGTAGGCCGTGATATCAATGATCGACTCCAGATACCAATGACACAAAACCTGGGGAAGTATTCTGGCGTGCTGGTCCTACATGGCCGCGTAACCAATCAAACTTTTCGTTATATTATTGATCGCATTGACCAACATCTTGAAGGTTGGAAAATAGAAAACTTATCCCTTGCAGGTTGTGTTACGTTGGTCATGTCCTTTATAAATATTCTCCCATCATACATAATGCAAACGACAGTGCTTCCGGAGGGGATCTGTGAGTATATCGACCAGAAAATTTGGGCGTTTATGTAGGGATCGCAGGAAGGAAGGAGACATATCCATCTAATCAACTAGGAAACCATTTGTTTTCCCAAAGACCACGGATGACTGGACTTGAGAAGCGTGCACCCTCAACACAGCTTACTTCCACAAACTAGCATGGGGAATTATTAAAAGTTTGGAGGAGCTCTGGGTTCATGTTCTCAAGGAGAAATACCTTCGCGAGGTCCCAGATGGCATGGATCTTCGACACAAGACCCGAAGCTCACAACTATGGCACGAAGTTAGGAGGGTCTGGTATCTTATGTTGGACGGTGTGTGTTGGAGTGTTTGTGATGGATATAATACACTTTTTTGGCTAGATAAATGGATGGATAACGGGATGGTTTAGGCAGAACACTTACTGTCCTAGCCTAGGAGCATTGACTGCAAGCTTCGGTTTCCAGCATGTTTAACTCTACAGGTGAGTAGGACACATAATTTCTATCATTGTCTTTACGTGTTGATGCTCTTTTGCAGGTATTGGGAATACCACCGCCGAAGCTGGAGTTGGGAGGACGAGCTTGTTTGGAGCCGCAAATCAAACGGATGCTTCACGTTGCGTACGACTTATCAACTCATAGCGAAGATTGATGGGGACGAAGTGCACTAGGGATGGAAAGCAGTCTGGAAATGGCCCGACTCGAGCTGCGTCCACCACTTTCTATGACTCGCGACACACATGGCCCTCATGACAAATGAAGAGCATTGATGACGACATCTGACTCATAACGCAACTTGCTTGAGGTGTAAGACGCACCCAGATTCACTTAAGCACATCTTCCGTCCTGCGTGTTTTCTCGCCAAGTCTCGTCCCATGCATATCGGCCAACGATAGCAGCGTCCGACACTAGAGACTTCAACAACTGGTTCATGCATCATCTAACTAGCCATGAGTCCCAGGTCTGTTTTAGTTTTACTATATGGTTCTTATGGCGTTCACGAAACGATTTCATCTTCTTGTCGATCGAGGAAGAACCCAATAGACTTTTACAAAAGATCCTTGTCTGGGAGGTCATTGCGCAAGATAGTAAGGCAGCGGAACATGTTATATCATTGAGGAGATCGAGGCCGCTCTGAGACGTGGTTGTTGGGTGGAGACCATCCTCGACAGGGTGGATCATAGTGAACTCTAACGAGAAGGGCATAGCCGCTTATTGAGATCTTACTCGATGACCCAAGAAGATGTTCAATCAATCGCGTGGAGCTACGAGGAGACATCCAAGGGATGTAGATGTCGTGGAACCTTGACCACAGGAAAGTCGAGCTTCAACTTAACTCCATGACCGTAGTGCAGCTTTTCTAAGAAATAGGCCCAATCAATCATCAACATGCCATTATTGTCCTAGCTTTCCCCGGTCTCAAGGAACGAGATTGGGAGATACAAGTCAACCACATATATCGAGAGGGTAACTTCATTGCATACCATTTGGCGCACGTAAGGAATTCGATTAGTCTAGGGAAAATTTCAATTAATCCTAGTGATCGTTATATTGCACATTGGACCTTGTATGACTCTGTGGGTAGCTGTAACGTCTGTTTGATATTATAATTTGAGGTAGTGGTGCTCAACCCCCATTTTCACAAAAAAAAAACTGAAGCACACATTTTGGCCATGAACCCAACTAGACCTTGTTTGTCGAATACAGGTAATTCCTACATGGAAAGAGACAAAAAAAAAAACAAAATGATAGAAACAGTAGTAATAAACGATATCGCTAAGCTTAAACAACAACAATTAGAAGGCAATTAGAAAGCTTCACCAAAACCCCCACTTATCCTCATTATGGACCCATATTCCCCCAATTCCAAATTCTTTGAGCCAGCAAGCAAGAAAGTACAAATTCAATATAAAACTTATCATTCATTACTATATAGTGGCAAAACCAGGATCAACTTAAGGAAAAAAGATTAAATCCATAACAAACTGACACCATCAAATCCCCAACTAGGTCGAGGTGGAATCGGAGGGTAGGAGTGTGCGCAAATTTGGGGCTCCATTGGGAGCGGCGACGAGGGTGATGATGGAGGCATATTTCGTCAATTTGGTCTAGAGCAGTGTGTACTCATAACATACTTTTACATGGCTAGATTTAATCTTTATATTTTGAGTAGATCAGATAAAAAAAGATGAGATTAAAGTTTTTTTTTACCTTTTCAATCGAATGGAATTCTCATATAGTCACCATAACTCCCTACGATGCAAGAATTACTAGGATAACAACTAAATCAATGAGCATGCACTCAATTGCACTTTTAAGTAACTAATTTTCCCCCTCAAACTTACTTCATCTCTCTCTCTCTCTCTCTCTCTCTCTCTCTCTCTCTCCCATACACACTAGCTCTAATAGACCCTTGATTTCTTAAGAACGATATTTCTATATTCCATCAAAAACCAAAAACGATGACAACATCCCTTGCCAACTAGGCATGCATTTACAATCAGACTCTACTTTGACCTATCACTATATTAACTTCATTCACTACAAGCTTGCTAATTTCCTCTAACTTCCTTCTGTCATTACCAAACACAACCAAGCAACGTTACCTCCAAATCCATCTCACCATTGACAACCAGAGAAGTCAGCCTCGTACACTTGCAAGTGTTTTACCTCTGAAATTCCTAACTTCCCAGCTTAATTCCTCCTCCCAAGTCTGGCCAGGGGAACGAGCTGAACCAAAAATATGCAGAAATAACCTTCTATAAGAATCACACCCTGCAAAGAGATGGTCCCTAGACTCCTGCTGCTTGAGCAAAACAAACATAGTGTAGAACCAATGTACCCCCATTTCAACATCACATCAAAAGTCTGA